GGCTCAGTAGTTGTGGCTCACAGGCCCAGTTGCTCCGCGGCATGTGGGACCCTCCCAGACCAGGGCTCGAACCCGTATCCCCTGCATTGGCAGGCAGATTCTCAACCACTGTGCCACCAGGGAAGCCCCCGAGAAACATTTTTAATGGCTGCATAATAGTACATCGTAAGGATGTATCACTTTATTTTTATTTTAATTTTTTAAATTTTTGGCTGTGTTGGGTCTTTGTTGTTGTGTGCGGGCTCCTCACTGTGGTGGGTTCTCTTGTTGCGGAGCATCAGCTTCAGTAGTTGTGGCACACGGGCTCAGTAGTTGTGGCTCACGGGCTCTAGAGCGCAGGCTCAGTAGCTGTGGCCCACGGGCTTAGTTGCTCCGCGGCATGTGGGATCTTCCCGGACCAGGGCTCAAACCCGTGTCTCCTGCATTGGCAGGCGGATTCTTAACCACTGCGCCACCAGGGAAGCCCCAAGGATGTATCACTTTTTTTTTTTTTTTTTTTTTTTTTTTGCGGTACACGGGCCTCTCACTGTTGTGGCCTCCCCCGTTGCGGAGCACAGGCTCCGGACGCGCAGGCTCAACGGCCATGGCTCACGGGCCCAGCCGCTCCGCGGCATGTGGGATCTTCCCGGACCGGGGCACGAACCCGTGTCCCCTGCATCAGCAGGTGGACTCTCAACCACTGCACCACCAGGGAAGCCCAGGATGTATCACTTTTAATGCATTCCTAATTGTTGACATTCATGGGTAGGTTTTTTGTTATTGTTTGGGTTTTGTTTTGCTGTTATAAACACTGGTTGAACAGTCTTGCAGAAACAATTTTGGGTCAACTGTGTTTTGTTTTTTTTTTTAAGGCTAAATTTGTGTGGGTTTTTCTTTTTTTTTAGACTAAATTTCTTGAATTTCCTTCCTTTTCTTCCATCCTTTCCTGATTTCTTCCTCTTTGAACTTTCCCTTTCATCATCTTTTTCCTGCTTTGAATGCATTTATCACTCAAGCTCAGCTCCTGTTCCTTTGCCCTTACCTAGCAATTCTTAACGTTCTCAGGTATCCCTACTGCTTCCCTGTATTCTTTCATCTCTCCAGGTGCTACACCTGATGAATCTTTTTCCTCAACCAATATTTTCATGATTTTCAGCTGAACCGTCTGTTTTATATCTTTGAGCTTCAGATTTATTTGAATGATGATCCTGCAGCTAAAAAGATTTGAAACCAGCTATACTAAAGGGGCCTCATAAGCATTATCTAAATTTCACGGACAGAAAGACAAAAACGGGTAATGTCTGGTGTCAGAGTGGGACTGAGTCAACAGCTATCAGTGGATTGTTCTGAGTATTCCTATCAGGCTGCTATTTGAAGCCTATGTGTGTGTATATATATATATATATAATATTATACATATTATATATTATCTATAATATATATTATCTATAATATGTATATATTATATATATTATATATATATTTTTTGTATTTTCTTGGAATGTATTTTATTTTTAGAAGTCAAACTTGCTAAATGTTTTTTTCCCAAAGGAGAAAATTCAAACCATCAATGTGATCTCTTATTCACAACATAGTTAATAGTAGAATGATCTCATGATTATGTCATGACTTAATGCAGGAACCTTCCAGTTTTTTGGAAAGAAGGATCTCAGTTTTTATTTCCAAGGAACTATTCTCTTTCTAGGAGAGTAAGGGAGTGAAAATCAGGTATCCTAGATCCTCCTTCTAGAGCTACACGGAGTTTCTATGCCTTTTTTCTGAATTATTCCCAGCTCTTCAGTTATAAAATTGGATGACATAAAACATGGCTTGTTTTTACAGTAGATGTATTTCTAAGAGTGTTTCTGTCATTTTTTTAAATTAATTTTTATTGGAGTATAGTTGCTTTATAATGTTGTGTTAGTTTCTGCTGTACAGCAAAGTGAATCAGCTATATGAAGCCTATATTTTGGCTCTGGTAGATAAAAGTGTTTTTCTACCTTTTTTCAACAAGTTATTAAAACCTGTGCTTCTGTAGAAGTTAGTAATTTATATAAAACAGTTTGGTTATAGATCTGAGAGCTCTGGACCATCTGGGTCTCAAAAAATGACGAGAGTATACACATTAATTATTCTTGATCATATTCTGTATTCTAAGTATAAGAAATATGTTTATTTGGGGAAATGATTGGATTAAAATAGATTTTTGAGATGAGGTGCTTGCTTTGTAAAGTTTTAAAACAGTGATAGCATCAAGATAACATCAAGGTTTTCTTTTCACTTTTCTTTGCAGGGATGGAAAATAAAGTGAAGCACTGTTTTATTGTAGCAGCAGGCCTTTGAAATTGAACTGAAAAAAAAAAATGACTGCTCTTACTTCAGAGAACTGCTCTTTTCAGTACCAGCTACATCAAACAAATCAGCCCCTAGATGGTAACTGTCTGTTATTCTTGATTACACTTGGGAAAATATTATTAAATATCCTCACACTAGGAATGAGAAGAAAAAACACCCATCAAAATTTTATGGAATATTTTTGCATTTCACTAGCATTTACTGATCTTCTACTTTTGGTGAATATTTCCATTATATCCTATTTCAGGGATTTTGTACTTTTAGGCATTAGGTTTACTAAATACCACATCTGCCTATTTACTCAAATTATTTCTTTTACTTACGGCTTTTTGCATTATCCAGTTTTTCTGACAGCTTGTATAGATTATTACCTGAATTTCTGTAAAGCCACCAAGCTTCCATTTAAGTGTCAAAAAGTATTTTATTTCTTTGCAGTTATTTTAATTTGGATTTCAGTCCTTACTTATGTTTTGGGAGATTCAGCTATCTACCAAAGCCTGAAGGTACAGAATGTTTATTCTTATCAGTGTCCTTTCTACATCAGCATTCAGAGTTACTGGCTGTCATTTTCCATGGTGATGATTTTATTTATGGCTTTTATAACCTCTTGGTCAGAAGTTATTACCTTGGTACAGGCTGTTAGGATAACTTCCTATATGAATGAGACTGTCCTATATTTTCCCTTTTCATCCCACTGTAGTTATACTGTGAGCTCTAAAAAAACACTCTTGCCCAAGTTGATTATCTGTTTTCTTGGTACCTGGTTACCATTTGTACTACTTCAAATAATTATCCTTTTACTTAAAGTACAGATTCCAGCGTACATCGAGATGAACATTCCGTGGTTGTACTTTGTCAATAGTTTTCTCATTGCTACAGTTTTTTGGTTTAATTGTCACAAACTTAATTTTAGAAACATGGCATTACCTGTGGATCCATTTGTCAACTGGAAATGCTGCTTCATTCCACTTACAATTCATAATCTTGAGCAGATTGAAAAGCCTATATCAGTAATAATTTGTTGACATGTTGCCATGTTAAAACTAAAACTAACAGCTACAAGAATTATAATTTTACAAATGGGAAAGAATGATGACTTGGGACATATAAAGAATGAACTGAACTGAAAGCTCTCCCCCACATCCCAAACTTTCATACCTTTTCAGAATATGTCTTTTTGGGATTGTGATATTATTGTTTTTTTTTTTTTTTAACAAAATACTTCCAATAAGAAATATTTATACCTGTTGACCATACTGATATTTGTGTTACCCAGAAAACTACTGGATACAAACTGTTAGGTAAATCTGCGATTCACTGCCAACTTTTCAAATTTAAATAAACATTTTTATTACACTTAGAGCAAGAAAATCAAGATTGTTTTCTTTAAATAATTTGGTGTAAATATTCTTTAACATAAGGGGAAAGATTAGTGCAATTTAAATTTAGCTAATTTTAGGACTTCCCTGGTGGCGCAGTGGTTAAGAATCCGCCTGCCAATGCAGGGGACACGGGTTCGAGCCCTGGTCCGGCAAGATCCTACATGCCGCGGAGCAACTAAGCCAGTGCGCCACAACTACCGAGCCTGCGCTCAAGAGCCTGCGAGCCACAACTACCGAAGCCTGCGCACCCTAGAGCCCGTGGGCTGCAACTACTGCAGCCTGTGCACTCTAGGGCCCGCGTGCCTCAACTACTGAGCCCATGTGAGGCAGCTACTTAAGCCCGCGCGCCTAGAGCCCGTGCTCCGCAGCAGAGAAGCCAGCGCGATGAGAAGCCCGCACACCGCAATGAAGAGTAGCCCCCGCTTGCCGCAGCTAGAGAGAAAGCCCACGTGCAGCAATGAAGACCCAATGCAGCCAATAAATAAATAAATTCTTTTTAAAAAATAAAGTGGTTAAAATGGTAAATGAAAAAAAATAATAAATTCATCTAACTTAAAAAAATATATCTCTGTTCTTTGTGCAAATATTCCTAAAAGAAAAGTTTTGGTTGCTCACCTTACAGAACTGGGAGTGGTGACTAGGTCTCTTCCCTGACATAACAGATCCATCTTCAGTTGTAACTTATCATCTGTCATATATTTGCATGACAACCCGTAATCACATGGGCGACGTACCATGGTGTGAAGGTAGGGTTTCTCACCCTCAGCACTACTGACGTTTTCTGTTGGATAACCCTTCGTTGGGGGAGCTGTGCTGTGTGCTGCAGCACGTCTGGCAGCATCTCTGCCTTCTATCCACTAGGTGCCAGTAGAACCTCCTTTCCCAGTCACTACAATCACAACGTCTCCGGAGACTGCCGTACTCCCTTCAGTGGGCAAAACTGTTCCCGGTTGAGAACTACTGGAGTGAAGCAATCTAAACGGCAGAAAAATCTGAAATCACTCTGTGAGTTAAGCTACACAGATACCGTCTAATTTGTCAATGTACAAACCTACTCTACTTCTCTGTGTTACTTTCCTTCTGAATGTAGTGGCTTTCTAATTGGCCATCTGTGGAACTGAGATACTTAAGAATATATTTTACTTAATAAGTAAAGACTTACCCTCTCTGCAGATTTTAAACCTGGATGATGTATAACTATTTCAAGCCCCACTAAGGTGTTTGTTTACTTAGAAGATGCCCCGTGCCTCACAAGCTTAAAAAAAAAAAAAAAAGAAATTATTCAGTTTACCAGCCAAATGGAAGAGGCTTTTATTTGTAAAGAAATGAACTTACAACTGGTCTACAATATATTATTGTAATATAAACAATATAAATAAATGATCCTGTAGGCCCACTAACCTTCCATCCAGACCCACATGAAGCAATGTTACAACAATATTCTATGTGAAAATGTGCAGGTAACAAAGGTGCAATTACAAGCAAGTTTAAGCAGCAGAGTATAAGGTGCTTTAATTTAACAGTTAATGTTGCCATCAACAAACATTTGAAATGTTCAATTTTACTTCACTGAATACAGACACAACAAATATGAAAATCTAAAATTCATACACATGCTACTGTTAATATGAAAGTGCTTTCTCTTTTTTAAAAAAATACACCAAATGGACAATCTTTTTACATAGATCATGGTGTGCTCTCATAATGCAAAATTAACTTCATTGTCAGGTTATACATTTTAAAACTGCAGCTATAGACACCAATCTAGGACCGCTAATGCTAAGAGTGCTAAAACTATTTCATTCCCTGCAAGGAGGACTCTAGTACAATATCCAACATAAAGAATACATCTATATATAATCTTAACATTTGTTTTTTGTAAAGATAAAAAAATGTTTTCTTTCCCCTTGGTGATTCTTTGTTCATCCTGGTTGGGTCAGTGTTTGAGGTTTTAATAATATGAAAGTCCTATTTAATTAGAACAATGGGAGGAAGCAAAAGGAGGAATTAAAAAATCAGTTAACATGTGCATAAGGCATCAAAAATAAAAATTTTTAAAAGTTTATCACAATTTGCCTTTGTTAAGTCAACAGCAAAAAATGTTTTCAACAAGCAAGCAGACAAAAAGCACTAATTCAACAAAGAGGCTTGAAATGCCTGACACCAGTGTCGGTATCCATCCTGCACACTGCTGTCTACAACTCCAACCTACACCACAAGCTCACCCCTTACTTTGAGGAGTTTTTTGGAGCTTACTTTGACTTTTTTTTTTCCTATGGAAAAAACAGAAAGACCAAGCTTTTGAATGAGGTGATTGGGAATCTAGTTAAATGTCTTAGAAATTAGATGTCCAAAATTATACCATCTTTGCACACTCCCACTGATTTTTTAAAAATTTAGAATACACATACAAAAAGTATTTATGTAATAGATATTTTAACAGCAAAAATATTTGAAAAATTACGTAAGTTAAAATATTTTAAAAGTTTTAACCAGTACCATGGAAAAATTTTTTTAAATCCAGACTATCTGGTCACTACGATACATAAAAGATCTTTTTAATATATTTTCATTTTGTATCTTTATGGAGAAGGTTAGTATCAAGTGATATTAATATGTAAAGTTGTGTCAACAGAAAATCACAATGTAATTCACAGAATCCTCGGGTGGTAAGGGACCTTCTTCCCAGTTAATCAATTCTCCCATTCTATATTTACTCCCCAAATACTTGTAAATTCAAGCTCCAAGCACAAAACTGTTTTACTGCTTACCGGTTCTGCATTTTAAAGGAAACCCTTTTACTATGCAATATATGAGTGCTTTCTAAAAAGTAGATATTTGTGATAACAGTAAAATTTTATGTAATCTTTCTTGCTTTAAAAAGACAAAAACAAAATAAAAACCAAACCTGTTCAGCAAGCTCTTCTGAGATTTTTCAGTTTTCAAAAGTTACTGCACTGTCAATACTGGGTGTAGTTCAAAACGTATAGTAAATCAGCACCAGCTTCTTTGTATTGTTCTGTCACACACCCTGCATATAGCAACACCTCTGGAATAGATTCAAGTGTCAAAATAATTCTGAGAAATATGGGCTGTCACAACAGTTTCAAAATATAAATCCTAATATTAGGTACCTTTAATTTTGTAACCTAATCAGATATATGGATTAGTATGCAAAATGTTTTACAGGAATTATGATGTGATTCACTCAGCTCCCTTAGATATCACATAGCCTAATCCTTTACCCAATGCATAAAAATTCCCTCTCAGTTCCAACTTTACATTCAGTACATTAAGTAATAATAATTACATCCATGTTTGTTCAAGCCACAATCAAAAATGGGGGGAAGAGAGGATTTTGTTTACTTATTACTAGTTCCTTAAGTATACCACACACTGCACAGTAAATGTTCAAATGGTTTGCTAAATGAATGGATAAATGAATGAATGACAATGTTCTGATGTATTCATATGTTCAGTGGTTTAGCAAGAGGTGTTTAGAAAAACGTCCTCATTTGCTCATCTGTGTGAATTTTCTACCTTAATCCTTAGGAGAACAAAGACTGTGGGTGACCCAGGAAACGGATGCTTAATAAATAATTATCTTTTAGCAAAGGCTCTTAAGTGTGAAATGAACCATTAAGAAAGGAAATTAAGAGAATTAAGATAAAAGAGAATTAAGTAGGAGCAACTTTAAAAAATACCCCATTATGTGGCCTAGAATCGTAGTTTTATATAGCTTAAAGATGATTTTAAACAAAATCAACATTTTGAGTAGTACAGGCTCCATGCTGTATACTCAGAAGAGGAAACAGGTTAAAAGCTAAGTAATGGCCTAAGGTGTCACACAGCTAATTCACCAACTAGAAGTAAAACCCCAGTCTCCCAGCCAGTGTTTTATCTTCATTTATCATGTTAATTTAATGATTATGTGCATCTCTTATTTACTATTGAAGTAATTATTTAGTACTACCTAAAACAAAATTATGGCTTTAACATAAGCATTCTAAAAGATTTTAAGCAATGGATACATCTGGTTTGCTTGAGGCAAGACTAAAGAAGTTCCTTTTTCTAAAATATGTTGATGTTCATTTCACTACCATTCCCCACCGCTCTTATAAACCCCAAATTTTTCACCTCCATCAATTAAAGCTCCACAAAATCAAGGATTTAACACTGATAATAGTCCCTAAAGTATAACTTTCAAGTCAATAAGACGGCTACTATCCATCCTTAAGATTAATGGAGTGAATTTAAATAGGTGGTCTAAAAGGACTTACTTTTTTTACTCTTACATTTAAAACTATACCATGTTAGCATAATAGTACTTTAAATTTATATAGATTTTTTTCCAAATTAAAATTCATGTGTTACTTCTTTTAAACAATACATTTTAAGACCTTTACACACAGGTTTTCTTTTTCTATGGATTCATACTGACGCCACCAATATCACTGAGAGCAACTGTACTTTTCAAAGGCAGTAGAAAAAAATACTTTTTAAATGTACCTCTTCTCTAATGTCGGAGGTTGAAATTGTCACCTTTAAGTAAAATTAAATGTTCACCTGCTATACAAAGGGAAAAAAATGAAACATTTGTGGAAAACATTTCCCAAAGCTCCCATGAACATGGCACTTCAGAGGTGTGTGTTCATGTGGTAGAGCAGAATGGGAGAGTTTTCATTAGAGAAGCTGAGCTTCGGATCTGAGAAGGAGGGCAGGTCTCCCTTCTCATGTACGTGTACTAAAGTGAAAGTTCAGGAAAAGCCAGACGTTTTGCTCTGGAATATGATGGTAAAAATTATATTTGTGTTAGTGCTTTACAACTTCCAAAAAAACACCTTTACCATAGTATTATTTTAAAGTAGATTAAATAAGCTCTGAAAAATAATATGTAAAACTTTATAATTTTTAAAAATTTAGGAAACTTTTTCCAAAGAAGATAATATAATTTTCAACATTTTTTATTGAAGAAATGGCTTATATTAGTGCTATGAGGGAAACTATATAATGATACATTTTATGAACTTCTAACAAAAGAGGAATATCTTCCCAAAGAATTTTTTTAAGATGTACAGCTTATAATAGGTTGAAATTAAATTTTAATAAGATTGCATATTTACTTTCCCTAATATTGTATTTGTGCTTATTTAATTGAATCACAATTGTTAAGATGAAATCAAATGCTCTAAACAGATTCAGAAAATACCAATATTGATGAATGTAGATTAAACAGTTCATTTCATGATCCACACTATTGTGCATCAAAGAAATAGAGGTAGGCTTGTGTTTACTGAAATCCACGCTAATAAACAGAACCCTATAGCTCTTAGTCATCCAACTCTTAGACTGAGACACAACCTAACAAAACACTATCTTAAAAATCTTAAAAATGCCTTTGTAACAATCCACAAGGTTGATTCAACTGTAGTATCTGACAATGGATACTCTCTCCTCCATATAATTCTGATAACTCAATTATAACAATTAACCTTTGAGTTCTTGACAAATATTCTCCAACTATAATAATTGTCACCTTTTTCAGAAGTCAAAAATCACCAATTTATGTATCATTGGAACTATTAATATGCTCCTAAGGGCAGAATCTCTTGATAAAGAGAGTAAAAGAATGAGTTTGATCACAGGTAAATCTTGACATAAAAAAAACTATACTGTTTATTGCTATAACTGGGACCCAACCATTACAATTTATTATTCTGAACTACTGATGGCCATATCTATACTACACAACCTCACTCAGTTAACCATATTATCCTCTTGGGTCTGGAACGCTTTTCCCCCCGTTTGTCTCCTCCTCCACTTCCCTGTCCTTTCCCCTAGAAAACCTTCCCCAAGGCCCCGTTATAGTTACATGTCCTGCAAAGGAAACAGACTGAGCAAACATTGTACATAAATGGCCAGTTTCCACTGCCCAGAGGGTTTACGAAGACACGACTGTTAGGTATTAGAAATTCCTGCCCCAGTTACCTCCCTAAAATTAACCCTACTACAAAGTCCTCTGTAGGGATTTTCAGGCAAAGGCCTCTCTAAGAAGAAAGTTTTCACACTGTTTCCTTGGGGCTTGAGGAGGTAAGGGGAGTGAGGCTCTTTCATCCTATTAGGCAGTAATACTCAACGCCCATTGCCCAGAGGCAGCATGAGTTCCTGCCATTCACTAAGGGTGAGGATCTTCAAACCACAAAATATAACCAGGCTGGTCTGGTGGAAAATATATCTTTGAAATGTTTTAACAGTGTGTCCAGCCAGGGATTTCTTCCACTCCATATGGCTATGAGGATAGCATCATTCCCATATATGTGCAATAGTTTATTCTTTCCAAGACTGTTTACACACATGCAAACATAGCCTAAGACTATACTCAATCTGTATATTGCCTCCTTACCATACTTGTGCTATGGTGGTACCAAAACCCTGCAAATGCAAATAATGGGACTTCATAACATTTAATTGAACAAGCCAGTGATATGGGGCACTCGGACAGATTTCAATCCAAGACTGGTATTTGAATAAATGTCTGACTATAATATTACACTGGATATGGGAAGATAAACTATGTCAAAAATTAAAATAAAGTCGGCTACCTACAAAAAATAATTTCTATTTGGAACTAGGTAAAACATGACTATTAACTTCAAAAGTGCAGAAGTTTGTTCAGCGCTGAAGTGGGATAAACAAAGTGCCAGTTCTCTTGTCTGCTTCTCCACCATTCTCAAGCTCCTTCACTAATATTTCCTTCCTTCTATTCCACATTCTCTATTCTGAGGGGATGGCCCTTAAACTGGGACTTTAAAAAATGTCTGTTTAGAGGATGTGCCAGCAAATTAAAAGTACCGTCATGGAAAAATTACCAGCCACTTAAAAAGTGACAGCTTGTGGGACAGCACTCTTATACTGATTATATATCAAAGCTGCACAACTGTGTCAGACACATGCCTACACAAGGCTTGATGAAAATGCACATCATGTAAGAAACAACTTTTATAAACCAGCTCTCTGTGTACTTTCTTAGGAACACATGGCTTAAAGCAAATAAAATTTCAAACTTGTAGGGATTTTCTTCCTCAATGGGAAAAGTGCATCAGTATAAAGAAGTCAGAAAATGCAAACTTAGGTAGCAAAAGTAGGAAGAACTTCCCATGTACCCTTTCTGCTTGTCATTCCTTCTCCTCAATCAAAATCCTAAAACAACTAGTAATATGAAGGAAAGCGAAAATGACAGCACTCTCCCCACCTATTTCATACTAAAACTGTGCTTTAAGCTCAGGAGAGAAGTGGACACCCAGTGTTATCGTCTATATCCATTATACATAGCTGAAATTCAGATAGTTAAATCACCCGGAAAGAAACAGCTGCATCAATGGGAAAACTACTAGTTAAAAGCCAGTGAGCCATTTCTAAATAAAATAACTTGAAAAAAGCAAGTATATTTTCTGGGTATGTTTTGAGTAGGGACAACAGAAGATCTGGTCTGTTCTTAAGATTATTATAAGATTTAGGATTATAAGGTGCTCTCCATGGAAATCCCTCTTGTAAGCTTTCTCGGATACTGAACACAGTGCTACGCACAGGGGCTTTCAGTAAGTACATAATGACTGATATCAGAAGAGGGACCACAGTTCCAAGTTAATACCTTAAAGGCTATATATAGGTAATATAGTTATGGGAGGTAATCATTATTGCCAGGGGAGTCTATCCCCAAAGAATCAATTCTGTATGAATTGTTTGTGGATCATCTGTGACAAAGCTTTAATTCCAGGGGAGACTTTCCATTGTGCCCTTCAGCCCTCATACAGTGGACCATCTCCTACTAATGCTTAACCTATACGTGTGTTCTGAAATTACAAGATGAGGGGAAAAGTCAAAGCATATGACAACTCTGTCATAATGATTAACTGCTAATAAATGAAAATTAACTGTAGAGTACCTACCTTTCCTTGAAACTGTAATCCAATAATTAAAAATGTGATATACAGAAATATGTGACATAGACTACAAGCTATTGTAGGTCTGGAACATGAGCCTTACACTATATTACATATTCTAATCCTACACATAACTATCAGTAAATGTCTTTTCTTTAAAACATTACTACACAAAAGAATCCCACAAAGCATACATTCAAACAAGAGGCATCTAAAGGTTAAAAAAATTACCCGCTGTATTTTTGTATAAAAATAATCAACATTCTCTAATGTACACAAAGCCAAAAGATAAATATCTGTGATGTCTTTAATGACATCTTTAGTCTTCTACTAGCGTAACACAATCTTTTTTAAAAGATCAGTGACAATGACTGAAACCCATGGACTCTTCCTCACTTACTGAACTTCTGCCAAATATCTGTGTATGTTCCTTCAATTATTAAAACATTTCCATTGTATGGTAAAGATAAGATAAAAAAAAGATTAAAACATTTTTGATGTCCAGGACTATAAAGTTCACAGGCCTGCCACAATTTTTAGTGCCATAATTCTAACAGAACACTAACTGTTCAATGAAAGGTTTTGCTTTAAAATCTTTTTTCCCTAAAACGTGTACATACAAAATTAGATCCAATTATCCAAGAGAGATCAGTTGGATAAGTGCTTTGCAGGAAGCATACAAAGATTTAGTCAAGGAAAAAGGAATGTGCATTCTAGCTAGATCCAGCTTGTTCAACACTAGAAAAATCCAAACACCAACCACATAGCCACTACAAAGTATCGCCCTGCCAGCAAAGGCTGTGCACTGGTTCATAAGGCATAATCATATTATGCCTTCATCAGTGCAGAGAGATATGAAAGAGAATTGTTATTATGACTTAATACTGAGAGGCAAAATTCTAAGTATGCTAGTTCTCATTTTACAGGCAGATTTCCCCCCTTTTTCTAGAATGCATAAAACTGGGAAAAATACTCTAGCAGAACATTAATGCTATCTGAAATACTTCCGTTGTACAATGTATTCCTTATTACATCCCTTTTTAAATTTTTTTTCTCAAAATATCCCTCTGGGTGAAAAAGAGCAACATTTATCCATCCTATGTTACGGTTTCTCAACCTTGGCACTACTGACATTTTGGACCAGATAACTCTGTTGTAGAGGGCTGTCCTGTGCATTGTAGGATATTTAGCGACATCCCTGTCCACGCTTCAGATACCAACAGCAACCCCCTGCCCAACCCCTAAGCTATGACAACCAAAATGTCCCTTGACATTTTCAAATGTCCCCTGGGGAACAAAACTGACCTCTGTTGAGAACCACTGCTCTAAAAGAACAAAAACTAAGAGGAAAACTAACTTCCTCAGTCACACCAAATTCTTGGTCAAGTTTGGAAAAGAAACCAAATCTTCTAACTTCCAGATCAGTATTTTTCATGCTAGAATGCAATCCTTTTTATAGACAAAGCAACTGTCTAAAAGACATGTTTTTTAAAACATACAGTGATATCTCACTGCATACAATTCCAGTCACTGGACTCCAAAATTATTCCTAAATCACTCCTAAATTATATCTCTCACGACAACCCATAGAAAAATTATAGGGTAGAAAAATGTATAAGAAAACCGAATCAAAAGAGGAGAAATGTAAATCATTAAATTACTTTCAAAAGGATTTTTTATATTAATGATAAACATCACCTTTAAAAAAATTATCTAGTAAAACACTTTGAAAAATATCATGGCCCTCTATAACAAGTCTTTCAATGTTGTGTGTAACCTGTAAAATTAATTCACCAATGTTAGCTAATTATGAAAATGTATCAATATAATGAATTATTTTATCTGTAGAAGAAATGTCAGCTTTAATGCAGAGATCCCAATGTGCTTGGCTATCCATCACAGTAAGTGATAATATTGTAGGCCAATTTGAGCCTTTACCTTACAAGTTTGTTTAAGAATAAAACTGCTGTTATCTCAGAGCCTCATGATCCCGTTAAGATTCCTTCAGAGAGTTGATGCGTGCACAGATCTTTAGGGCCGGGCCTAGCTTGATATTCATTGCACTCATAAGATGGTCTTCTTTTAGCAAGAGAAGAGCCTGTCCATCAATCTCCTGTGCTCTGAACTCATCTGCAATATCCTGGCAGCCTAGAATTTGATCAGAGGAAGGATGTTAGAATTAATACACAACAATCAGAGGTTACTCCTAACAGTCACAATTATGCTCTCACTGGGTCTGAGTATCTGAAATACAGGGTGAGAAACAAATGAAATTTATTGATGGTCGTCTTGGGTTCACTCTTGAAGAAGAGAGTATCTCCTGACATTCTAAAAAGTAAGAATTCGAAATCCAGGTAAAGCAATTTACTTGGAATTCTTGTTCTAAAAATAATATTGCAGAAATAATTATAAGTCAGGTAAAATGTACAGATTGTTCAGTCCAGATATAACATACCTTCATGAAAAGGGCAATGCTGTCACCTGAAAGCATGCCACACATACAGCAAGTTTGGATTAACTAGTCATTATACCTCAAAAACTTTACTTTGTGTAACATATCCTTCACATACAGGCACAAAAGAATAAAATGTAATGTTCTGCCATTTAAATAATAATTTAGAAATATTTTCTCAAGTACCACTTTCATTATCATTTGTATCTTTATTCTGATTTACAACCTTCAATGTGCCAGGCATATCCAAAACATTTTTATTATTCACTCAGGACAGAACCAATCCATCAAAATTATAGTATCAATCTATTGCTGAAATGTATTACAACGATCAACTTGTAATTTCAACTTCAAATCTTAATATCACTGGACTAATCTCCACTTCTGATAAGAAAACATAAATTCTCATTGAAATTTTGAGCTTGCTGGCTAATCTCTTGACAAATAACCAATATTTTACCTCTCTGTGTAAACCAAGTGCTTTAAAGCAAGTAACAACGTGAGCACTCTCCTTGAACCTCAAACGTTTCTATTATCTACCAAATTTTGCACAGCCAGGCTAATAAACTTCCCCACTAAGGGTAAAGAAACCAGCAGGGAAGGTAATGAATTAACGAACCATGAGAGGAGACAAAGCAAAAATGTGGAAGCTTCCTTATAAAAGACAAAATTATAAAAGTGAATTTAAGAATAAAAACTAACAGCTTAAAGTCTTTCTTTTCTATTCAAATCAGCATTCTAAGGGAGAACACAAAGAAAAAGATAATGGAAATGGTTACATTATACCTTTGGATACAACTTTGCTGGAATGATTATTCTTTCTACTGCAAATGTATCATCCTCTTGTTTATATAAGAGGATGTCATCCTCTTATATAATGTCATCCCTATAACCCCAGCACCAAGCACAAAACATTGTAGGTGCTAAATACATATATTTTTGGATAAGGGAAGGACTGAATGAATGAATAATGAACAAAAACAGAATCTTCTAAAAAGGAGCCATCTGTAAGAGTAACACAAACTTTTTTTTCTGTATTCAGCTGTGTGGCCAGCTTTTCTCTTGGTTATTTCTTTTCCATCTTCTCTGTTGGTTGTATCCTTCCTATTTCCTATATAGCAATCAGCTTTTCAATTTCTCTATTTTAATAATTTCTCAGATTTTTAAAAACTGACATTTCAAAAGTACCCTATGCAAAATTTTTATGCTTTTGGCCACTTACCATATAAAAGAAACTATATAGTTAAAATGGGATTACTCACCATAGAAAAGCCCCTTTTCTTTTCCCAGAGGTAGCTCTCAAAACTGGGCAGACAAAACTGACTAATCTTGCATCTAGTTGTGACTTCATCCTTCTTTTTATGAAAGAACTAAATGTTCTTCTCTCTTCAGTCTTACAAGAACACAGGAAAGAAAAGAAGAGAGAGAAAGATAGCGTAGGACTTACTTAGATTCAGAAAACAGAAGCAATGAGAAGTAATGAGGACCATAAGAGCTACATTTGGGAATAGAAACAAGGAGTTCTCCATGAAGAAATTCATAGCATGTGCTTGTTCCTCGGGATTATCAGAGCGCTCTTCAAATGTCTTCTTGTAGACAGACAGTAAATGTATCAGCAAAATAATACAGAACAAAAGGTTGGGAAACAGCATGATCAAACAGGAATGAATTATCTTCAGAATTTTAGATCACAACTTTCTTAAGCAAACCACAAAAAGTGTATTTATACCATACATTAGTATAGAAATGAAAAAATAAAGTGACTTAAAAAAGAAAAATGGAAAAAAAAAGGCAGAAGCAAATACGCTTTCCTGAAACATATTAGAGAAAGATGAATTTTTTAAAAAAACCTAGATGCTCAAGGTATACTGAGCTATAGTTCTATGAATTTCTGACATATTTAGAATCTACTTCTGTAAACAGCTGGCGCCCCAGGAACATTACAGAACATATCCCAACTGCAGCAACCAGTCAGCGCAGCTGGCTTTACATCACCACAAGCAGACATCAGAATGGGCATGGACCTCTGCACATGGACATGGGTCTCAAATGAACCTTACAAATGTCCAGTCACTTTTCCAGCTAAACCTAAAACAAAACACCCCACCCCAAAACTAACATCAGTAAGGATGATGAAAAGATATTACCTGCACTCAATACTACAGAATTAAAAAGTCCCAATATCAGTATTATGAAAACCAGTAAACCGTCATATGTTTTTAGACAATACCTACTTTATATGCCTACAGGGAAACCAAATCTACTGCAGATTCACAGATCAACAAATACAGACTAAAGTGATCTTTGCAAAAGGCAGTTCACTGTATCAAGGAAGAGTTAAGGAAGATAACTGCAGTAAACTGAGAATAAAAAGAACCGTTCCTATAGAGAACTTTTTAATGTACAAAAATTTTGAAGAAAATAATTTTTCACTCTGGTAACAGCTCTGAGACTGGTCTGCATACCAGCTCTAACATGGTCCCACCAAGATGGTTCACAAGATGACATTATACGATGAAAAGAGAAAACTTTAGGAATAAATATAGGTGCCCTGATGAAAGAGGGAAACCTAGCCTCAACTGGAAAGAAACAAAATACAAGAGATTACAAAATTTACAAGTTTGTTCACTCCATGAGAAAAGCTCAGGGAAAAAAAAAAAAATCCAGCCCTGAATGAGCTGAAAGCGGCTCAAAAGGAAGTTTACAAAGGCCAGAGGAACAGAGAGAAATAAAGATAATGGCTTTCTGGCTGAGATTTACCTTAAGCTACAGGCATTATTCAGAGAAAAACTTTGAGAAAGAAGATGTTAACTGATCACACAAATAAGCTTGTTATTTAGCCTGTCAAAGCAGTTTAGAAATACTCCCATTTAATCAGGTAAAAGAAAAGCAGAGTTATATTCAGCAAACTCTTAAACAGTACCAAGCAATCCTAAATTATAAAGCAGTCTGCTTTATATATAATGTTCTCTAAACAATTAGCAACAAAATTAAGTGTCTTGATGAACTCAGTAAGACAAGCATCTCAAGTTATAAGAAATAATTTTTTTCAATTCAAATGAAGCAAGAGTAAGACAAAGGAGTTAGCCTTTGTTCTAATAAAGCAGCCAAGAGTAGTCTCATGGCAAATGGATGCTGGGGAAAATTAGAACACTAGTCCTAAAAAAAAAAAAGCACATGAAGTCATAGAAGAATCAGCAGTATCTATTATTTGTTAATTATTTGGCCAACTACTTTCCTCCTCCCCAAAGGAAAAGAAATATTTTCTCCCTAATGAGAAATCAGGCTGACAGCTCATGTACTCCATTTGGAAGACTATGTCTGAAGATGACAGAATCAAAGTCCAGCCTCAGGGATTAGTGTCAATTCCAATGTTAATTCTCAAGATATCTAGACTGGTATAAAACTTAAAATTTTTTGCACTGAGTATTAAAACCACACCCAGTGAAGACTCACCATTCTCTAATATGTCAGCTTTTTAAAGCAGATTCTAAACCCACATGGTCAGCACTTAAATCACACCTAAGTTTTCCTAGATGCATGCTTAAAACTCTTCCCATGAAAAATGTATCCCTTCTTTAAACAATTTCATCTTTCTTTAAAAGTGACCATACCTTGTTTAAAAAAAAAAGAAAAACTTATTTAACATTTCTAAAACAAGCTATTGAAACAATAATTTAATAAAATTTCAGAGTTCTGTACATATATCTTCCTCAACTTACATCCTGACAAACCCATCGTAAGTTGAAAACATCAAGTCGAAAATGCATTTAATACACCTAACCTTCTGAACATCATAGTTTAGCCTAGCCTACCTTAAACGTCCTCAGAACACTTACATTAGCCTACTGTAAGTTGGGCAAAATTTTCTAACACAAAGCCTATTTTATAATAAAGTGTTAAATGTCTCAAGTAATTTATTGAATACTGTGCTGAAAGTGAAAACCAGAGTTGCGTGGGTACAGAATGGTTCTATCAGCTATTTACCCTCGTGACAGCGTGGCTGACTGGGAGCTGCCCTACCCAACCTGAGGAGAGAGTACTGTGCTTCATATCACCAGCAAAAGATCAAAATTCAAAACTAAAGCACAGTTTCTATTGAATGTGTATCGTTTTTGTACCACCATAAAATCGGAAGTTCATTAAGTCAACCCATCACAAGCCAGGAATTTTTTAAAAAGCAGAATACTTCTGAATATACTTTCTTCACTCATACAACACTTTATTTAATTAATTTAATTTTTATTATTATTATTTTTTTGTATTTTGGCCGCACCACACGGCATGTGGGATGATTCCCCAACCAGGGATTGAACCCGGGCCACTGCAGTGAAAGCGATGAATCCTAACGTCTAGGTCACCAGGGAACTCCCAACACTTTAGCTGTAAGTTTGCTTCTGAGACAGTGGTCACCTTCATAGAAAGATTAATTAGCAAAAATAGCTGGATTAATTTTAATAAGTCTGTAGACAAGTTCAAAGGGGATGTATTTTTCTGGAAAGCTTGTGTCAAGAGATATGATAGATTCACTGAAAAACCAAAATGGAACAAATATTTTTAAAACCTTATTTTCTATATTCATAAGGTCAAAGTGAATGATAAAGGTTTGCTGATTAAAAAAATATATATTGTCTTAACATATATAGCAGTGTGGGTCGCATGATAAGCAAAGGTGCAGCTGTCTTCAGTAGCCAGCCCCTTAGAGAAAGTGGAAATAAAAGATTATTGTTGTAGTAAAGAAAAAAGATAAAGAACATAATGACTTAAGCTGATGGAAAGAGTACCAAATGAGAGAGCAGAAAACATAAATAAGAAAGTAACCCTACTGGAATGGAATATCATAACTGAATTTCAGTTGTCTACTTAATTTCAGAAGTATTCTTGATGTCTATTTACTGCAAAGAATCAAAGAATGCAGCCTCCTTTAAAAGAAACAGCTTGTTTTTCTTTTTTTAAAGAAGCCAAACTTTTATATTATAAAAGGTGCTGATTAGCTTTCCAAAAAGTAAAAAAAAAAAATTATAGTCTCTCTTACTTCATTTAAAAAAAGTTAAATTAGGAAATAAGGAGGAAATAGAATAGAAAACTGGAAGAGCAGAAGGGAAGAAGTGTCTGACTCAATCTCTCTACTGACCTCTCGAGAGAAATCAGACTGAAGAGAAGAGAGCACCTTTAATCTCTTCACCGGCTGAGGTGTCACAGCAGAAGCAGGACTAGTCAGTTTTTATCGACTTGGGGGGTATGAGAAAATACCCAGTTGTGCTGAGGGAATAAGCAAGAGGAGACAGATCACATTTCAATACCAAATGCCATTTAATGAGTACATATACATAGAACTTCTCTAACCCTTTTGTGCAATAGGTGTGGATGGATCTAATGTCATTCCTCTGTGTGTGCACAAGACAAATATGAAGGCCAAAGTGGTGAATCACATACCAGGCAAAGAATGGATGAAGGCCCAGACGTCATCAACTGTCCATACAGATGGCTCCGTTTGTGCAACTGGTAGCAAGTCACTGTTCTCAGGCATTTTCCTCATTCTCACATCCCGAAGCTCACGCTCTCTTTCCCGTTCACTCTGCCTGCGCAGGCGTGTTGTCATAGCAGATGGCACAGAATCTTCATGAGAAGCCAAGTCTTCTTCTGCAGATGGATAAGTAATTGGAAGCTGGAAAATGTAGTACAGGTAAAATACAGCATTGCACTTTCCTTGTATTTCTGAAAAGGGTATTGTACATTGAATCAAAGTTTCTACAGACCTGCCTAAGGATATGTTCTCTTGCTGCCCCATCAGGGCCACTTGGACGACGGCCACGATGCCCAAGACTTTGATTATCAGGCTTACGATTCCAACGACTAAGTGCAAATTTTTTAGAACAGCTAACATTGTACCTAAGAAATTCAAGTAAGAAAAAAATTAAATGATGTATGGGACACTCCATTTAGTAACTAATTATGACCTTAAAGTGCAGTTGTGAATCAGTAAGTGCCATTTATTTCATTATGGTCTGTAATACCTCAGAAAGTAAACCATAGTGTTCAATAGATTTACTTATGCTAACAGTAAAAAAAAAAAAAAAAGTGGCCTCGTTTTACATCATAATATAGCTTTCAATATAATACTGGACACCTATAACAAGGTATTGATATTTTCTCCTAATAACAGCGTGACAGAAACTCTCTGCAAAATACAGAGGATAACTCATTTTTCTAGCTGCAAAATAATTCAAGATTCCAGGAGAAAATAAATTATGAATTAATTATTTAAACGTTCAAATTGTTATTTTTCCAGGTAATCATTTCTGAAGAGATTACTAAAAAGAGGTTAATATAGTAGAGAGGGGGAAATCTCAAATGGCTAGTAAAATATTTTTCAAATATAACTAAAATCAAGGAATGAAAAGGTAAAGTTGAGATTTCAAAGTTCCACAAGGAATTCATGGGTCTCAGGAATTCAGGAAATTCAAATATATATAATTCTTTAAAATTGGCTGAAAGATTACTGTCTAATATTTTTAAATATACATTTTTAACATATATATATTTAATATATGGAACACTTTATGTATTTGCCTATCATCTTTGTGCAGGGGCCATGCTAATCTTCTCTGTAGCATTCCAATTTTAGAATATGTGCTGTCGAAGTGAGCACTCTAAAATTTTTTAATGTAGACCTTTGTAAAGCATGATGACAGCTTAAAAGAGTCCTATGCCATTTACTTAGTTCCAACACCCTAGAACAGGTGCTGGCAAACTTCTTCTATAAAGGGCCAGATATTAAATATTTTAGGCTTTGTAAGCCACACAAGTTTCTGGCACAACTACTCAACTCTGCAACTGTAACATGAAAGCAGCCAAAGACAATAATGAATGAGCATGGGGACTTCCCTGGTGGCACAGTGGTTGAGAATCCGCCTGCCAATGCAAGGGACACGGGTTCAAGCCCTGGTCTGGGAAGATCCCACATGCCACGGAGCAACTAGGCCCATGCGCCACAACTGCTGAGCCTGCGCTCTAGAGCCCACGAGCCACAATTACTGAGCCTGCACGCCACAACTACTGAAACCTGCACGCCTAGAGTCTGTGCTCTGCAACAAAGAGAAGCCACCGCAATGAGAAGCCCACGCACCGCAATGAAAAGCAGCCCCCGCTCTCGCAACTAGAGGAAGCCTGTGAGCAGCAACAAAGACCCAATGCAGCCAAAAATAAATAAATAAATATATTTAAAAAAAAAAATGAATGAGCATGGATGTGTTCCAATAAAACTTTATTTAATAACATTTAAATTTGAATTTTATGTAATTTTCAGGTGTCACAAAACGTTATTCTTTTGATTCTTTTTCAACCACCTAAAAATTTAAATACTATCCTTAGTTCAGGAACCATATAAAAATAGGCTCCAAAAAGGACTCAGCCTGGGCATAGTTTGCCAACCCCTTCCCTAGAAAGAAGAGTGAAAAGAGATGATCTAAGATACAAATTTCTGAAAAGCTACACAAAGGCTAAGAAAAATATACACAGTTCCTCTTTTTTTACACATAAAACTGCCATTGTAATTTCTTATTTTCAAAACTCTTTTGCTCTAAGATGATTTTTCAGGGAAATGACAAGAATTTCCTCACCTATGTTTTATGAAAATATCAGGAGGTAGAAGGACTACTATGAGAGTGAATAGGCTATTTTTCCACTAAAAATATAAAAAAGAAAAGTGTCCTGATGGTCACTTCATTTTGGTCACTCTAAAACAATTCAACAAGCTCCTCCTGTGTTCATTATGCCTATCTGTGGACTCAGCTCTAAAGGTTTCTGATTTCCATTCACATCAACTGACAAAACTTCTTTCCTAGCTGACTACAGAACAGAGAAGAGAGACTAACTTTACACTTGCTATTTAGTCCCTAAATATTTAGATATCTTAGACAGATAGCTAGGCAGACATGTAAACTGCAGTTCTCAGGTGAGACCTAATTTATCCTCTCCTCCTTGCTCTTCTCTCGTCTGCATTTTCAGGACCCCTAAACCTCTAAAGAGCTTCGCCTAAAGGTATAATAACAGGACAACTGAGCAATCACCTCTGGGAGAAGAGTGATCGTAGTGTGTTAAATGTCCTGAAATATTTCTAAATAGTCAAGAAGTTTAAGATATTCTGAAAGGCAATCCTTCTCCCTCAGTTTTTAATCCCTTAGAATCAGAGAGCCACTATTCTTTCTTGTAGTACATGCAAACTGGAAAAACTCCTAAGTTAAAATAGGAGTTACATAATTTGATTAGGACTATCAATAACATGAAAGAATATCTGAATAACAGATTGACAATTGAAAAACCAATAACTCATTTTTAGAGGAAAATACTTCTACTAGTTATTTAACTTAAGTTTTACTAAGTATATTTTTGGGGCACCATACTAAATAATGTATTCAAGCAAGAAATTCCCTGGATGAATCTTTAAGTTCTTAAATTCTTTGAGAGAATAATAACTTTTGGAATAGAAAACAAATTTCAAAATAATCAATCTGTGCATACACTTCACCTTTGGTGGGAAATACCTATAATTAGGATTTATAATCAGAATTAGAGGGGTGTTCTTTAATGTAAACTAAACTTGTGACTAGATCAATGAAGATACTAAAAATTTTGATAGTAATACTATTCACCTATAACATTACTATTGAAAATGCAGGTTTAGAAGACAGGCCATTTTGTTGTCAGATAATATAACAATGTGGAGAACTTATGCTATAGCTGTCCCACTTAGAAACCTAAAATAAACAGGATATGGTTAAAAGAAATGAAACATTTAAAAATATAACAAAGTAAATCCAGGTATTTCAATATTGATAAAACAAATATTGTTTTGACACCTTAAGGACTAGTAGTCTATTCACAGGAGGGTTCTCCTAAGCATATTCTTACCACCAGAAGATTGCCACTTCAATATTAGATTATGCTGTATGTGTTATGAATATGCAGTTTTCACGGAGCAAAAGTTAACAACTAAATAGCAAAGTAGCTCCAAATAATGCCTATTTGATATCATTCCTCTATAATATCTAGTTTTGACTAATGGTAAACTCTACAAGTTTTTTGGTTTTGTTACAGCAGTTGTTGGCTTGTGCTCTAGGAAATTCAAGAGAACAGAAATACCTTTTGGCACACGACATAGTGCAGAATCGTTTTGACCGCAGAAATTCATTAGCATACCCCATCTTTCCACAGAATTCACACTTGAGCAACTCACTGTCCATTTCTTCTAATGCCTCTAAAAAGAAGAAAACAAAGAAAAAACTTCCAAAACTTTAATCGTGGCAAATTTTCTTTTAGCTTCTACATTGGTTGGATGCTGCTAGAGTTCAGACCCTCCAGGAAACTTAAAAGGAATGGTCTTTTAACTTTTCAATCCATAGCCACTTTGGCAAGGCAAAGCCCCCCAAAACAACCACTTCCACCAATTCCCTCTTGCTCCTGCATAAAAATATTTTATGGAGTTTTCTCTATATAAATAAGCAATACATTTTTAAAGGTTCATTTTGCTAAGAATCCAACCTACCTAAAATGTGCAAAATAAAACAACGTCACTACCTTTCAAAAAGCATCAGGTAGTATATGAATTTTGATACATTGTGCTATGTACAATATATATAGCAAAGAACACACTTCTAACTGGAAAAAATGAGGATGAATCCAAAAAGAAGGTAAAATTTTGATGTCTGATTTCAGAGGAGCATTTAAAACAGTTAACACTCTCAAAGATCTGCAATGTACAACAGAATATATAAAGATGTATTTATGTAATTATAAAACAGTCCCTTTTAGTTTTATCATATTAAAACAAAGTAATTTACATTTACCTTCAAAATCACCATTGGTTTTGTAACTTCTAACCTCTGCTCCTTTTTGTCAGGGTGCTTCTCTGTTAAATGAGAATGTCCTTCCCTCCACCTCTATATCCATAACTTTCAAGTCATACCACAGGACCCAAAGAAACTTCCCACCTAAATCCTCAAGTATTCAGCAGCAGCAGTCACCTGTAAGTAAGCAACTTAATCTTCAGGACCCACAGTTCTCTCATCTGTAAACTGGAGTTTAAAATACCCTTCCCGAAGAATTGCAGTGAAGATTACATGAATGCCCAATAGGTAGCAGGCATAAAAAAGTGACAGTTCCATTTCCTATTTTCCACATAAGAACTAAGAGTACTAAGACCTGTAATAAGTGCTTAAGAAATACTTCAATGAAAACTGTTAAATTCTTAAATCCACCATATTTTGCCATTTTCATGCATCATCATGATTCCTATGCTGAGTCACATAAAATATACAAAAAAAGAACTCTACTAACTAAAGCTTTTAGCTATGAGCTCCATATGTGCTTTTGTATGTTATTCATTTAAGCAAGACTTGTTAAGATGAAGAAAGGGACTCTGAAATGTAGACATGGATGACATGTACTCAGTACATTCAAGCATCACATTATCCCAGTGTTACTGGAGAAGCAAACAGCAAAGTGCTAAATTAAGTGAAGGCAGCAAGAACTAAAAAACACACTGTGAAATATTTGAAGTTCCAAGGGACATCCAAATACACTGTCATGACCAATCAAATCATAAACTAGCAAGTGATCATCTCAAGGAAATTCTCAAGACTGTCTTCATAAACAAAACTCATCTATTTAGTAGCAATGAGGAACAAAAGAGTCTCAAAGCAAGTAAAGTAAAAACTGCTCCTTCCAATGACCTAGAGATGGCTTTCACACAGTTGTGCCCCTCACCACATCCCTGGGACCTAGTGTCATACTTCCAGGAGTATTGCTTTTACGCTGTCATGCTTGTAACCAGATCTGACCTTGATAAGCCTGTACCGGAGAGAGAACCTCTCATTCGACCACCACTGCCACCAATCCAGCCCCAAAGAGCCCATTTGTCAACTAGTTCCATTTTGACTTATACTGAAAGCTTTATTTCAAAAGTTTGTATTAATTAACATAATAATATGCAACACTTGATTAACAGGTTAGAATACCTTATGAAGGAGAAGGAAATGTTTTTGCTGGTGAGAGAGGGGAGATCCCAAACAGGTATAGTCTAAGGGTTAACAACCTGACAAAAATAGAACATCAGTTTTACTTCTCATAAAGAAGAGAGGAATATTAACAGATTCAAAAAAGTCCAGTTCTAATATTTGGTCAAAACTTCAACAAATCTGGTAATGTTACCAAGGCTACTTTTTCACATTTGTAAATAAAAAATTACAGAGCCAAGTAAGTTTAAAAAACTATTGCTTTAGCTAATAAAGATGGGATTCTATGGCAGAGACAGCTGGCACTTCCCTACTATCCAGTCTTCACTGTTCTCCCACAGTAACAAAATCCTAGTATTTAGCTAGGAATATGGCCACTGAGAATAAAAAGTACAGTTTCTGCCCCATGTGTGGCCAGTTTCTGACCAAATTCCAGGTAGTGCCCTTTCTCCCATCTTACAATTAGAATGGGATCATGAAGATTAGCTATCTTGGAAATGTGAGCAATGTTCTAGGGATGGCAGAGCCACTGACAGCTTAGCTGCCCAACACAATGGAGCCCTGCACTGCTTACCTTTAGACTATGTCAGAGAATATTAAACTTTATTTCATCAGGTATTATTCTGGGTCTCTAATGGAGTGGCCAAACACATATCCTAACTAACAGAGATCCCCAATTTTTCTGTGCAAGGAGGAGTTACTTTTCAATTTTCCTGAAGACTTGAGATCATGTGATGATCAGCAGCAAAGAGAGGCAATGAGATAGAAACCATGATCAGTGTAATGATTTACCAGGGAAGACATAAGATATTTTGGTAAATCACATTTTGGTTGGAGATTCTGGTTATAGAACCAGTCCAAATAGAGACATAGTTTATCCTTTAAAAAAAGAATAATCCTTACATTGTTTTTCATACTGAATTAAACTGTATATACTACTACAACCAAAGCCACTAAACAAGTGACCTCACCATTTCACCCTGTAATACTTCCCATAAACACCGAAGTATACAGTAACAGAAACACTTTATAAAATTACCTTGGGAAATCATGAAGTATTTTAAAATTTGACACATTTTCAGTAAATATATCTCTACTATGAAATAGATTAATCTTTCTTTAACTGAATATAGTTAACATAAAACAGTGTGTAAATTTAAGGTGTAAAATACATTAACTTGATACATTTATATATTATAATATGACTGCCTTTGTAGCAATATTGAGCACTTCTATCACATTACATTTTTATCCTATCATTTTAGTCACTGGGATAATTAAGTTTAAGTCTCTTAGCAAGGTTGATGATTATAGTATAATATTGTTGTCTATACTCATTATACCATGCATTAGATCTCTACGGCTTATTTATTATTCATTGCATAGATTAATCATCTTTAAATCTCCCTTTTCCTTACTCTGGTATCTTGTTCTTTAAAACTACCCTTTGCCTTGTCTTCCTCTTCCCACCATGACTACAGGTATCAATTACATGCCAAACCTCTACACTGCTCCTACCTGTGACCAGCAGAGTTTCCAAAAACACTCTTTTTTGTGTCATCCGCCTAAAAAATCTTCAGTAACCATCCTCTTGACAGCAAGATAACTCCTAACTCCATAGTCGAATATCAAAGTATGCTAGAATCTGACTGCCTTACTACCCACTACTTCTCTAATCCAACTGTCTACTCTTCACTGCCCCCTCCTGAAGTTACCTAGCACTTGCACATCTTTTGTGCATTTATTCATGGTATGCTAACCTGAAAGGTTATTCCTGTTATCTTAAATCTATGCTTTACCAGCCAAGACCCAGGTCAAATCCCATCTCTACAGAAAACTCACCAAACTGGCAATAATCTCACCCAGTTTTAACGTGCCAAGTTCTTACTGTCTATAATAATTCATTTAATACCTACCATATGTTGCTCCTTAGTTATCTTTCTGTTGTGGAGATTGCTACTTCCTACTAGATCAAAAGCTCCTCTAGGTTCCAGCATAGTCCAGCATATGTTTTAATTGTATTATAAACCATGAGCATCACAAAATATGCTATGAAGCTTCCTAAGCAGTTTTCCATTTTTCTCCAATATGTGCACACAAGAGAGCACATTACATATGCTTATTAGCCTAGTAAACTTTTGTTTATACACTTATTCTATAGACAAGAAAAAAAAAAAAACCCTGCACATTCATCTTTACTACTCTTTATCTCAAATGAAAAATTTTCTCAAATAAATAGTATGCATAACTAAAAGCAAGTATTTAGGAATTAAATGAAATTAAATTCATAACAACAAAGGGCAAAATGTAGACATTGTTTGGATCCTGACTTGAACAAAATAACTATAAAAGAACATTTATACAATTTAAGCAATTATACAACTGAGGAAATCTGAATATGGACCAGGTACTAGATGACACCAAACAGTTATTAATGTTGTTTTGTGTGACACAGCATTAAAATGTACACTTTTTATAGATGCACACTGAAGCATGTACTAGCAAAATACAATAAGAACCATGATCTTTTTTTAAACAGAGGAATAAAGGGAGAAAAGGGAAAGAGAAAAAGCAACAGAGAAAGAGATAAGGGGGGAACATAGGGAGAAAAAACCAAAAGGGATGGATGAAGCTGGTGTGGCAAAATAATGTTTAAAATTGGGTAATGTTGCATCTGGGTGAGTTGGGATTCATTATACAGTTCTCTCTAATTGTATGTATGTTTGAAAATTTTCATGTTTAACATTCTTTTAAATGAAAAAAAAATCAAATTGAACTCAACGTAAGTTAGCAGTAAAAAAATTTTATACTACTATCATACTCTTCGCTATTCAAATAAGAAGTAAAACAGTGATAAATACTTTGCAACAGTTCATAAATTACCACAATGACAGAGGTGCCTTCCTCTTAAGAATTAGGAAAACTGTGAGCCAAGTCAGTATCTATTTTGCTTACCAGCATGCTCTTTTACTTAATTTTAGCAAAGTACAGGCACATAATATATGCTAAATAAATATTTACAAAATGAATAAATTAATTTTAGATGAAATATATTAATATATTGAGGATAATTACTTAGACACAGATATTAATTAATTCACTATTACAGAGCTCTGACTATATTAAATGCTATTTAATTAAACTGAATGGTATCAACTGCAGAGCCATGATCAGAATCAATAAAAAGTAAAATATATCATTTTTGCATTTATTTGTGTTTGTTTTCCTGAAGTCACTTTGCATTACCACTTGACTTTTATGGAATATTCACTATTAGAATAAGGTCTATAAAAAAAATTCTTTGACACTGAGAAGATTTAGTGATATTTTCCTCTATGAACAAACTTAATCGCCTTTTGATTGAAGACTACGTCCTTAACACAACTGTAATAGCCACCTGATATCAAACATCTGAATACATAAAGTCTAAAACCAAACAACCCAGAAGCTCTAAATTTTTAAGCAAACTCAGTAAAACAGTCATTTACTTAAGTCTGCTTAAGAGAGAGAATTGGTTGTTTTGATCCTAAAATTCTGAATTAGTTTCATATATAATGGAGCTTTTCCCAACCACACTCCTTCAAATGTCCAACTGATAGTATACAAATTAACACCAATCTTGCTATTTTAATTATATGACCATTAAGAGTCTGATTAGCTTTCCCACTATTTTAGTCAAATAATACATTATATGAGAAAAAAAGTAAATACTTCCAAGTGAAAATCTGTGTGGAATAAACACCCATGTCTTATTTCAAACAATCAAAGTCAAAGTTAAAGGGCATCTTAAAGAAAAATCCACAAACCTTCAGCAATCATGTCTTCCATCTCTGTGTCAGATGAATTATCTGCATGCTTTGCATTATTCTGTAGCTCTGGCTGAACACACACGGAATTTATCACCTGATTATCCAAAATAGGCCTTTTCTTCACAGGCTGTTCAATCAGCAGAGATGAACGACTCACCTTTAAAAGACAGAACAAAATAAAATAATCTTTTAAAAGATTTTCAAAAACAACTTAGTTTAAAAATCTCTTGAAACGAATGGTATCTGTGATAATTTACTTGTACGACTGATCAGATCCATTCATTAAGGGCTTTATTCCTTGAGAAAAGGTTAGGCAACCTGAACATAAATGCTTTATACTGCAGTCCATGAGCAGTACGGATGCTTCAAAGTCTCAGTCAAATGGAACCAAGGGTCCTAGTTTAGGCAGGTAGGTTAAAAAGTTTTTTAAAAAATCAGTAATAAATTTTGATGAGCCAGTACCTTTAATACATTTTTTTCCTGCAATAACTTTTAAGATTTATTTTTCATGCACAAAGCTTTTTATTTGTAGGATTATCTCCTCAGGATAGATCATTATCATATGCATTTTAAAGATAAGGGAACTCGACTCCCCTGGTGGCACAGTGGTTAAGAATCCGCCTGCCAATGCAGGGGACATGGGTTCAAGCCCTGGTCCCGGAAGATCCCACATGCCACAGAGCAACTAAGCCCACGTACCACAATTACAGAGCCTGTGCTCTAGAGCTTGCAAGCCACAACTACTGAGCCTATGTGCCACAACTACTGAAGCCTGTGCGCCGAGAGCCTGGGCTCTGCAACAAGAGAAGCCACCGCAATGAGAAGCCCACGCACCACAAAGAAGAGTAGCCCCTGCTCGCCGCAACCAGAGAAAGCCCGCACGCAGCAATGAACATCCAATGTAGCCAAAAATAAATACATACATACATACATAAAAAAAAAATAAAGGGAACTAATGTTAAAAGTATGCAGGTGGAGGAGGAGACCTTCAAGATGGCGGAAGAGTAAGACGCACAGATCACCTTCCTCCCCACAGATACACCAGAAATACATCTACACGTGGAACAACTCCTACAGAACACCTGCTGAACACTGGCAGAAGACCTCAGACCTCCCAAAAGGCAAGAAACTCCCCACATACCTGGGTAGGGCAAAAAAAAAAAAAAAAGAATAAACAGAGACAAAAGAATAGGGACGGGAACTGCACCTCCAGAAGGGAGCTGTGAAGGAGGAAAAGTTTCCACACACTAACACAGAATTAGGGGCAAAGGGCAAAGCGGAGAGATTTCCGCACAGAGGATCAGTGCCGACCAGCACTCACCAGCCCAACAGGCTTGTCTGCTCACCCACCGGGGCAGGTAGGGGCTGGGAGCTGAGGCACTGGCTTCGGAGGCCAGATCCCAGGGAGAGGACTGGGGTTGGCTGAGTGAACACAGCCTGAAGGGAGTTAGTGCACCACAGCTAGCCAGGAGGGAGTCCGGGAAAAACTCTAAACGTGCCTAAGAGGCAAGAGACCATTGTTTCAGGGTGCACGAAGAGAGGGGATTCAGAGCACCACCTAAACAAGCTCCGGAGACTGGTGCGAGCTGCAGCTATAAGGATGGACCCCACAGTCGGGCATGAGACGCTAAGGCTGTTGCTGCCGCCACCAAGAAGCCTGTGTGCGAGCACAGGTCACTATCCACACCTCCCCTCCCAGCAGCCTGTGCAGCCCGCCACTGCCAGGGTCCTGTGATCCAGGGACAACTTCCCAGGGAGAACACACGGCACGCCTCAAGCTGGTGCAACGTCACACTGGCCTCTGCCGCCACAGGCTCACCCGCACTCCGTGCCCCTCCTCCCCCCGGCCTGAGTGAGCCAGAGCCCCCTAATCAGCGGCTCCTTTAACCCCGTCCTGTCTGAGCGGGAACAGACGCCCTCTGGCGACCTACACGCAGAGGCGGGGCCAAATCCAAAGCTGAGCCCCGGGAGCTGTGCGAACAAAGAAGAGAAAGGGAAATTTCTCCCAGCAGCCTCAGAAGCAGCAGATTAAAGCTCCACAATCAACTTGATGTACCCTGCATCTGTGGAATACCTGAATAGACAACGAATCATTCCAAAATTGAGGTGGCAGACTTTGGGAGCAGCTGTAGACTTGGGGTTTGCTTTCTGCATCTAATTTGTTTCTGATTTTATGTTTACCTTAGTTTACTATTTAGAGTTTATTATCATTGGTAGATTTGTTTATTGATTTGGCTGCTCGCTTACTTTTTTTTTAAATACATATTTTTTTTCCCTTTTTCTCTTTTTGTGAGTGTGTATGTGTATGCTTCTTTGTGTGATTTTGTCTGTATAGCTTTGCTTTTAACATGTGTCCTAGGGTTCTGTCTGTCCATTCTCTCTTTCTTTTTTCTTTAGTATAGTTTTTAGTGCTTGTTATCATTGGTGGATTTGTTTTTTGGTTTTGTTGCTCTCTTCTTTCTTTCTTTCTATTACTTTTCAGTTTTTCATTTTTAATAATTTTTTAAAGATTTTTATTTTAATACCTTTATTTTATTTTATTTTTTCCTCCCTCCCTCCCTCCCTCCCTTTCTTTCTTTCTCTTTCTTTCTTTCTTTCTCCATTTTCTCCTGAGCCATGCGGCTGACAGGGTCTTGGTGCTCCAGCTGGGGGTCAGGCCTGTGCCTCTGAGGTGGGAGAGCTGAGTTCAGGACACTGGTCCACCAGAGACCTCCCGGCTCCACGTAATATCACACAGTGAAAGTTCTCCCAGAGATCTCCATCTCAACGCTAAGACCCAGCTCAACTCAATAACCAGCAAGCTACACTGCTTGACACCCTATGCCAAACAACTAGCAAGACAGGAATACAGCCCCACCCATTAGCAGAGAGGCTGCCTAAAATCATAATAAGGTCACAGACACCCCAAAACACATCACCAGATGCAGTGCTGCCCAACAGAAAGACAATATCCAGCCTCATCCACGAGAACACAGGCACCAGTCCTCTCCATCAGGAAGCCTACACAACCCACTAAACCAATCTTAGCCACTGAGGGCAGACACCAAAAACAATGGGAACTATGAACATGTAGTCTGTGAAAAGGAGACCCCAAACACAGTAAGTTAAGCAAAATGAGAAGACAGAGAAACACACAGCAGATGGAGGAGCAAGGAAAAAACCCACCAGACCAAAAAGATGAAGAGGAAATAGGCAGTCTATCTGGAAGAGAATTCAGAGTAATGATAGTAAAGGTGATCCAAAATCTTGGAAATAGAATGGAGAAAATACAAGAAACGTTTAACAAGGACTTACAAGAACTAAAGAGCAAAGAAACAATGATGAACAACACAATAAATGAAATTAAAAATTCTCTAGAAGGAAATCAATGGCAGAATAAATGAGGCAAAAGAACGGATAAGTAACCTGGAAGATAAAACAGTGGAAATAACTACTGCAGAGCAGAATAAAGAAAAAAGAATGAAAAGAATTGAGGACAGTCTTAAGAGACCTCTACGACAACAATAAATGCACCAACATTCAAATTATAGGGGGGCCCAGAAGAAGAAGAGAAAAAGAAAGGGACTGAGAAAATATTTGATGAGATTATAGTTGAAAACTTCCCTATTATGGGGAAGGAAATAGCCAATCAAGTCCAGGAAGCGCAGAGAGTCCCATACAGGATAAACCCAAGGAGAAACACGCCAAGACACATATTAATCAAAAATTAATTATAAAGAAAAAATATTAAAAGCAGCAAGGGAAAAACAACAAATAACATACAAGGGAATCCCCATAAGGTTAACAGCTGATCTTTCAGCAGAAACTCTGACAGCCAGAAGGGAGTGGCAGGACACATTTAAAGTGATGAAAGGGAAAAACCTACAACCAAGAATACTCTATCCACCAAGGACCTTATTCAGATTCAAAGGAGAAATTAAAACCTGTACAGAGAAGCAAAAGCTAAGAGAATTCAGCACCACCAAACCAGCTTTAAAACAAATGCTAAAGGAACTTCTCTAGGCAGGAAACACAAGAGAAGGAAAAGACCTATAATAACAAACCCAAAACAATTAAGAAAATGGTAATAGGAACATACATATCGATAACTGCCTTAAATGTAAATGGATTAAATGCTCCAACCAAAAGACACAGACTGGCTGAATGGATACCAAAACAAGACCCATATATATGCTGTCTACAAAAGAGCCACATCAGACCTAGGGACACATACAGACTGAAAGTAAGGGGATGGAAAAAGATATACCATGCAAATGGAAATCAAAAGAAAGCTGGAGTAGCAATTCTCGTATCAGATAAAATAGACGTTAATTGTTTTAACGTCTCTAGACTACTACAAGAGACAAAGAAGGACACTACATAATGATCAAGGGATCGATCCAAGAAGAAGATATAACAATTGTAAATATTTATGCACCCAACATAAGAGCACCTCAATACATAAGGCAAATGCTAACAGCCATAAAAGGGGAAATCGACAGTAACACAATCATAGTAGGGGACTTTAACACCCCACTTTCACCAATGGACAGATCATCCAAAATGAAAATGAATGTAAGGATACACAAGCTTTAAATGATACATTAAACAAGATGGACTTAATTGATATTTATAGGACATTCCATCAAAAACAACAGAATACATTTTCTTCTCAAGTACTCATGGAACATTCTCCAGGATAGACCATATCCTGGGACACAAACCAAGCTGTGGTAAATTTAAGAAAACTGAAATTGTATCAAGTATCTTTTCTGACCACAACAGTATGAGACTAGATATCAATTACAGGAAAAAATCTGTAAAAAATACAAACACATGGAGGCTAAACCATACACTACTAAATACACTACTAAATCTCTTGGTTAAGAGATCACTGAAGAAATCAAAGAGGAAATCAAAAAATACCTAGAAACAAATGACAATGAAAACACGACAACCCAAAACTTATGGGATCCAGCAAAAGCAGTTCTAAGAGGGAAGTTAGTAGCAATACAATCCTACCTCAGGAAACATCTCAAATAAACAACCTAACCGTACATATAAAGCAATTAGAGAAAGAAGAACAAAAAAAACCCCCAAAATTAGCAGAAGGAAAGAAATCATAAAGATCAGATCAGAAATAAATGAAAAAGAAATGAAGGAAACAATAGCAAAGGT